CAGTAATAGGTGCAATGTTATATTCAAAAGTGATTTAGTCAACTTAGTAGAACTAAATACTTGTGGAAGGATGTAATGCAGAAGTTTTTACAAGTCTTTGGAAGCCACTGCTCTCTTCGATGGTAACGTAAAGCCATGCAAATTATGTGGTCTTTAGAAATTACAGTTTCCCACATTTTTTAAAGTTAACCAACTTGCTAACAGAAATATCAAACCCAAAAATAATTCCTACTGCTTTATCTTGGACAAACATCAAAATCGTTCCGGCTGCTTAGTCTGCTATCTTTGGTTTCACTGATAAATGCAAATTTTGCGTAATTTATAGTAAACGAATGCGCTTACTTAAGAAATGTTCAATTAGAAGCCAAAATTGATTTCCGAGGTTTTAGATAGTTTGTTTCAGCACCACCGCTGACTTTTAGGCTTGGAAACCCAAAAAAGTTTTTTCTGTTTACTCATAGTCTTATAGTGTCGATCACGATCCATAACTGTAAAAAAATTCATTCATTGATTTGAAGAAATGAAGAAAGAAGAAAGAAGAAGAAATGCTCTCGTTAGAAGTGGAAATCGCTCAGATAGGACTGTTCCCGTGTTCTGTAGGCACGTAAGGTTGGATCACCAACGTACGCCCAAGGACGTTTGACGATCACCTAAACGAATTTACTGTATTCGTGAAGTCATAAACTAACTAATAAAGTTTCACAAGTAGAACATACTTTTGCTTTTTTCTTAGGCCTTCGAACTTTCTGCGCTGGTGCCGCTATTCGCCTTTTGCTCGGTGCTGTACTTCTTGCCATTAGAGGAGTTGGCGCGATTTTCTTTTTCTTAACCTGAAGCAAGCTGAAACTAGCTCTACTGTGAATACAAATTTTCAAATTTCTCGTACTTGTTTCTTGCGATAAGGACTGTTTCTGACCACCTTCACACTTTTCTTTTTCTTAGGTCGTTTCTGCTTTTCCAAATTCTTTTTCTTCGGTCGTTTGTGCTCTTGCTGAACGTCTTGCCATGGTTCTTCGTAACGCTTGATATCCTCTAGTATCCTTCGATTTTCTTCTTCAATTTGTCTCGTCTCAAGCTCAAGACGCTTCCGCTTTTCTTCTGCCATTTTTTGCTTGTTTGAACGCTAAATCATTGCAACAATAGTTTACAATATTCTAGTTCTTTTGGACTTCTGGCATCAAACAAAACGTCTTATATTTCAAAATATTTTCTAAAACATGTGTTCCGACAATTCTTCATCTATACGCATTCAAAGAATTTCTTTGAACTTCTCGTTGTTATACTGTCTCAATAAAACATATTTTCTCATTCTTATAATCTCCTCGGCCTTTGTTGAATCAAACATAATTGTTACAAATTGTTGAGCCCATCTCCAATAGTACTGCTAGATAAGGTAAAATAACATAAGCGGAGATGAAAAGTGAATTGTAGCAGAGAAGAAGCCCTCAGTTTACCTCAAAAACAGGAAAATGAAAGAGGAAATTAAGCTTTAAGAAGTTTTGCTTTGTTCCGATTAATAAATCAATATTGCACTTGGATAACCCTTCAAGCATGTACGACGATATTCAGCGAAAACAAACGAACCTCCAACCATCCATCGTAGTCGAAATCATCTGCCGGCCTATAATGACAGGTCTATTCAAACTAACGAAGGGGTAAAATTATACACCCTGTCGTTTTCAACGTAGTTTATCAAATTATTGAAAGGCAGAAGAGACACTCACCTCACTGCTGTTTTCTTGACTTTTGCCACTGGACGTTTTGACACGGGTTTCTCTATGGAGTTAGTTGAGTTCGAGGCTGGAAAGAAGTATAATAATTCGTTTGAAGCGAAAGCATCAGACAAAGATGGAAACGAAATTTTATAAGATTGCATGGATTAGTAAGGCACTTCCTGCCAAGCACTGCATGCGCAAAATGGGCTTGGATATCTTAAGAGCTCAAAACTACACGAGGAACACTTCACGCTACCAATCTCACAGCAGGACATACGTTTTGACACAGATCACCTCATTATGTTATGTCACATTATTATGTTATGTTTCTACGTTATTGTTATGTTATCACACTAATATGTTATGTTTACCAATCACCGCTGAGAGATCAAGAGCGCAATAGCCAATGGTAGTAGTGCATCCTCATCCTGCGCAGCTGCCATTGGTTGCTGCTTTCCGATAGGCTCCCGCATAGGAGAAGAAAGACCGGATGAAAGGTTATGCATGGTGCGATTCACTAGATTCAAGAGCAGTTATAGTTTTTGCCCAATCATTATCAATTTGCATACCGCCATCTAATTTTACTGGAAGCTCTAAATGGTCAAAAAAACAACGAAGTGTTTCCTGCGAGGATTGTTGGAGTGTGGGCTAGCTAAAGTAATTTGTTGTCTTTGCTGACACTAAGTAGAAACCCTCCCTCGAAGAGCATCGTAGAAAATTTGAAGGTCATTCATGCTGCGAGTTCTCTAAAGCGCTACTGTTCGTTTATGTTGATACGGGTGATGTTTCTTTGCAATCTCATCTAAAAAGCTGCTCAGTCACATATTCGCTATTCACTTATGATATAATCTTATAGTCCTATAATTAGCCCACAGAAAATTTTAGAAGTTTCTTTGAAGAGTAGCCTTGATAGAAGATTCAAAAGCTTATCTTCTGAAAAAACTCACAGGGTGACAAGCTAATCCGTTCCACAGTGACAGGTGAAATTGTTCTGTGAACGCTGTCATTGTCACTCCACCTAAAAAATTCTAGTGCACCATAGAGCAACTTGGAGAAAAATAAAAAGAGTTACGAAAATTTGCTTCGGATTGCTTTATAACGACTAATCTTGAGCTAATCATATGCCTCACTTAACAAAGTGTAAAATCCGCACAGCCTCTTCACTCTTTTCATATTTTAGAAACTAAGCGATTAGCGATGCTGACTCAACAACAATTAGTTTTAGAGTAACTAACAAAGATTCTGCAAGAAATCATGTTTTCAAAAATAAGATATTGATACGGGTGAAGGTCAGATTATCGATGTCAAATATATAATCTAGCTAAGTAATCCTTATTATTCCTAAAGTACGCTTTTAATACAAAGGAAAACTAATTTCTTCCGAGATGCCGAAGTTTTTTCTATTCCAGGCATGATTTAGCTGTAAGAAAAGAGTCGAAAAAGTGCTGACGTTAGTGTCCTGTGTGTGACTTGAAAGTAGTTGATAAATCTTACAAAGTAAAAAGTTTAGGGTGGAAAAGCATAAATTTTCCATTTCGGAAGAAATTGCCTATTCAAACTCGTTCCACCGCAGAAACAAGAAAGGAAGATAATGTGACGGGATTTGAGGTAAGTACACCAATTCTTACCATATTTTCTTCCTATTCTTACTTGCAGTCGAAGGTAACGATAACCTGCGCGTTGGAAAATATGGAGCGATTGCTGGAAATGAAACAATTGTAAAATGCAGATACTTTTTGATCAGCTTTTCCTACGTATGATATCATGACCATATTCCTGTGGAGCAAGTGGTTTCTTGACAGGCGGTGGTTCCTCCGTCTTCTCGCAGTCTCCTTTTATTTGGATTCGGTGGAAGTAGCGTCGACGAAGATCTGAAATTGCAGTTTTTT